TGCAGTGTTATCATAAAAGGAGCAACTGCTGGACATAATATCCCCCCCCCCCCTCCTTCTGTGTCCTCTCAGAGTGAATCACCCTCCACTCTGTGTGGTGAGCCTGGGGACAAATTCTAGAGGGGGAAGCCGTGTTAGTTGGCTGCAGCCAAAACAACCACGATTCTTGTGACATCTTCAAGACGAGCAAATTGGTTGGGGATGCATATGCTTTCCTAGGTCAGTGTTCACTTCCTCAAATGCACAGGGGTAGCTGCCGGATCGTGGGCTCACTGGTAGAGCCTTTGCCATAGCTGGGCCAGAATGTTACAACAGTCCTGGTCCTAGCTGGCCGTTGTTGTCACTGCCAAGGCCCAGGTCCAAGTTAACAGATGAGCCAACACTGCAGGGCCACTTGGATCAGTTTGCTCTTGGTCCTCAGTGGCCTTCCAAGGCAGCAGCCCATCAGTGAATTTCCCAGCAGATTCAAGGGCCGTTCTGCCCTTGGCATCTGCTTTCTATGCAGAAGGTCCCAGGCTAGGGTAGCCAATCTGCAGTTGGGGCCTGGAGATCTCCCAGAATTACAACTGATCTCTAGACAACACAAATCTGTTCCCTGAAGAACACAGCTGTACTGTAGACTGGACTTCATGGCATTATACCTTGTCGAGACCCTTCCCCGCTGCACAACCCACCCTCCCTAGGTTCCACCCCCAAATCTCTAGGAATTTCCCAACCTAGAGTTGGCAGCCCTTTCCCAGACTCAATCCCTGGCATCTCCAGTTAAAAGGATTAGACTGTAATATGGCTACTTGGACATGAGTAAAAAAATCAACTGACCTTCCCCAGTCAGAAGTGGCAGCTCACAAAGATGAGAACCCGCCCTTTAAGGTGAATGTGTGGGTCTATGTCCAAGAGCACAGATGTCGTGGACTAATGTCAAATGAATTTCCCTCACAAGACACCCACTTAACTCAAGCGTGAGGTGCTGCACGATTGCAGGGAAGTCCAAGCAAGTCTTCTCTGCCTGCAGGTAATATTTTGTGATCTTTCCGATCCACAGCAGAAAACATTTGTGTTTTCCCAGTATTCTGAATTCTGCTTTCTAGCATCTTCAACAGACAGTAACCGTCGTGTTTCCTTCCACAGGGTAGACGCTGCAAAGTAGGTCAAATGACATCTTATTTAACAGTTTCTCTGAAACTGGCATGTTCCTGCACCCGTTGAAATTGGCCCAGTAAAAAAACACCACAATGTTGTGAGGCAGAAAAAGGCAAAAAATAAAAATCCAAAACCTTGTCTTCTTCTCTCCATAACACATATATGTAACTGGAAAGGACATCACTGGTTTTTTTAAAAAATTTACATTGTTCATAGTCTGCCTTTTTCACAGGGACTTGAAGTGGATTATATATAATGAGTAAATACAATCCAACAAAATGGAGCATTCAGTAACCAATGCATTAGGATTTTAGAAGCCTGGAACCACCAGAAAGAACTGAAGCATAGCATAAGTACTCACATGACACATTAAGTGGGACAGAAATTACATAAACAGAATCCTACTTACAATAAGCTATGCACAGCAGTGTAGACCACAGTGCCTCGTCATTTATCCAAGCAAGTCTGTACTACTGTTTTGTTCAGAAAAGCCCTCTTGAGTATGGAGAATAGGGTGCTAGTCCAGTTAAGCATAATTTGTGGAAAGCCAGGAGAGGGGGATCTTTCCTGACCTCCTCAGGCAGGCCATTCCACAAGGCGGGAACTGCAACAGAGAAAGCAGGTGGATGGGCAGTTTTTGATACCTGCAGAAGCCCGTGATGACTTGAGTGAAGCTGTTGTGGTAGAACATAGGGAGAGAGAGGTGGTCCTGCACATTTTTGCCAGCTCCTTGACTGGACTCACAAAGAGTGGTCTCTTTGTGGTGGCCCATGAAGTTGATCCTCAGAGACTTCAATATTGATGCCCAAAGCTTTGTGGCTTGGTGTAGCACATGACTTAAGACATCTAAGACGGCCAAGGGTTTTCTCCAACACATTGGTGGACTGTTGTAAGCCATAGGCCTCTTATGCACACACAGCTTACTGAAGAAAATCCGAGCAGTCAAGCCTTTAAACTTCACTTTGGATTCTGTGTCTGCCATACGCACATTCTTCTTTCTCTAGTGGATTTATTCTGTTCTGAGCTGCCTTCTCCCACTGCCTGGTTTAAACCAGACAGTGGGAGGAGGCAGCCAGCCAGGCTTGCTGTGCATGCAGGGAGCTGATGGCTTCTCTCACACACAGCTCTGTGCTGCCTTCTCCTGCCACCCGTTTTAAACTGGGTGGCAGGAGAGGGCAGCTGTCAGAACCCACAGCCAGCAACGTAGTACACACTTTCCAGGAAAGGTAATACTTTATTGAAGAGCTATAGATGCATTAACATACGCACTGTTAAGAATCGCAGTTGCCCCTTGGGCATAATAGGATATAGGGCATTTGTATGCCCCCTCCCACTGTGCTGGCCAATTAGGCCCCCTCCCACGCGTGGGATAAAGGTTGCAAACCGTTGCTAGCCGAAGCTGGGAACTCGCACTCTCCCACGGCTCCCTGGAAAAGGCAGACACCACAACTCCCACCTGCACATCTTTACAGATAAGCATTTCAGCGCGAAGCACAGAAAGGAATGCAAGAGCAATTATACTGACACAGCCTGACCATCCCAACCCCCATGGCAACATAGCTGACAGCAGTCCAGCTGGGAGTCATTTCTCACTTTTTTACAGCAATCTGAGACTAGCGTTAGTCTAATTTTGCTACACTCGGATTGCTTGTAAAAAAAATTTAAATGTCAAACAATGAGAGACACATCAATGAATGGTGGAAAATACAGAGTGGGCAGAACGACCTAGATGTGGGCATGGGAGTGGCCTATGAGGGGTAGGAAAAGGCAGAGGGAATTTGAGGGGATCTGTATGCTTTTTAATTATCTTCAGCTTAGAAGCAAAGTAAGGAGGAAACCGGCACAAAAGTACTCTCAGAAAACCCTGGGAAACAGCAAACGGAAAGTGAACTGAGCTCTGAAGGGAAGGGAAACAATGCAGAATGATAAAGAAAACCCAACGGACATGCATGGTGTAAGCGAAGCAAAACACCCATGCATAATAGGCCACACACTCTGCCCAGTGTTATTTTGCAAGCCATGCTGTTGGTGTGATGTGTGTACGGGAGTGACTTTCTTATGGATAGGATCAGAGTGCCGATTATAGGCGCACAATTGTTCACCCTAAGGGACTAAATGCATTATAATAGATTCCTCAGCACTATGGGAATTTACTGATTGACTCAGCCAGCTTTCCTGTTCCTGACCTACCTGAACTGTGGCACATATATCAGGCCATGTGCACTATTGTTTCTGGTGCCTTCTGATAGGCAGCAAAGCCTATATCCCCTTTAGTCCAGTGAATTCAATTGAGGTGAAAGGAAGATGTCTGGAGCACAAATGAGAGACAGTGTGGTGTAGTGGTTGGATTGCTGGACTCGGACCTGGGCACAGAGTTGCCAGTCTCCAGATTACAATTCTGATCTCCAAACTACAGAGAGAAAATGTCTGCTCTGGTGGTTGGACTCTATCGCATTATATGCCACAGAGGTTCCTCCCTTCCCCAAACCCAGGGTCAGCTCTCCCGCTAGGCCAACTAGGCACTCGCCTAGAGCGGGAGGCCCTGGATGGGGGCGCCGAAGTTCGCCCCCCCCCGCCAAAAGCCAGCGCCGATCCCCGAGGCTCCCCTCCACATCCCTCCACATCCTTCCCGCCTGCCTGGACCCTCTCCAGAGACCCATGGCCAGCGGGGAAAGGCGCTGGCAGAGCGGGCGCATGAAGAGGGGAGCCCATGCCGGGTTGCGCTTGCTGCCACCTGCCGGGGAAGCCAAGGCCGCTGGAGCTGGCGGGGGGGGAGGCGAACTTTGGCGCCCCCATCCAGGGCCCGCCGCCCCATCCAGGGCCTCCCGCTGGGTTCCCAATGGGGTGGTCTTCAGGCCCCACCAGGAGGTTGGCACCTGCAGCCTGCAGCCTCACCTAGGGCGCAGCCTCGCCTCGGGCCGGCCCTGCCCAAACCCTGTCTTCCCTAAGTTCCACCCCCAAATCTCCATTAATTTCCCAACCTGCAGTTGGCAATTCTACCTGGGGACCCAAGTTCAAATCCTTGCTCTTCCATGAAAGTTCATCAGTGACCTTGGGTCAGTCATTCTTCTGTGTATGAAATAGAATGTAATGAATGTATTGAGCTTGAGTCTGACAAGGTATTGTAAACCGACCTATCAGAACAAAGGAAGTTCTGGAGGGAAGCAAAGAAGTTAGGCTGAGAGAGAGTGTGTTACATATGAGACTCGAGGCAGCAGGTGAACAGTAATAACGGCTTTATTTGAACACGAAGTCAGAAGAACCAGAACGAGACAAACAATGGAGCAACAGGCTCCTTTTTAAACAGTCCGGGCTTGGCAAGCCACGCCCACATGTCAGATAAGATCCAATCAAATACAGTACATAAAGACCAATCACTTTGCTTCCCTCCAGAACTTCCTTTGTTCGGATAGGTCGGAGGTCCTGTGCTTGAGTTGGACCAGACTGGGGTTACAATACCTTGTCAGACTCAAGTTCAATACATTCATTACATTCTATTTCATACACAACAATCCTCCCCCCTAAGACAAGACAACCCTTGAACAGTCATAATCTTTCAAGTAAGCAGGACGCTGCTTGACCCGTTGGGGTTGTCTGATATTTACTGTTGGTGGGGTAGGAGGAAGGGCTTCGGGCTCCCTGTGAGTGAGCTTGGTTTGATTCCTTATGGGACTGAGTGTCCGATTACCATAGTCGTGGCTCTGCTCGCCCTCGACTATGCCTGAGGGTTCCAGTGCTTGGAAGCCCTCAGCCCGTTCGGAGTCTGGAGACTCTACCTGACTGTCTGAGTCAGGCACATCGGCCACCTGGGGAAAGGAATCAGGAACTGAGTCAGCCCACCGCTTGCGCAACTGATCGACATGGCGCTTCATTACTCTACCATCATTCACTTTTACCGTGTAATGGTGGGACCCGAGGACATGGGTTACTGTGCCTGGTAACCACTTGTGTCCGCTGGTAACCACTTGTGTCTCGTTCTGGTTCTTCTGACTTCGTGTTCAAATAAAGCTGTTATCATTGTTCACCTGCTGCCTCGAGTCTCTCTCTCAGCCTAACTTCTGTCATGACAATGGGCTTGGAGCTGTGGTGTGGGCCGGGCTGGCATGTTAGCTAGGGTTGCCAGCTCCAGGTTGGGAAATTCCTGAATATTTGGGGGTGGAACCTGAGGTGGATGGGGTTTGGGAAGGGGAGAGACCTCAGCAGGGTATAACGCCATAGATTCCACCCCTCCAGAGCAGCCATTTTCTCCAGTGGAACTGATCTCCATAGTCTGGAGATCAGTTGTAATTCTGGGAGGTCTCCAGGTCCTACCAGGAGGTTGGCAGCTATACTGAAGGCCTCAGGATGGTCTTTCACACACGCACAGGTCTCAGGCCTGGCTGCCAATTTTCTCGCAGTCCTCCGGGTCCCAGTCACCCTCCAAGCCTCAGGATATAACAATGGATCTCCAGACGACAGGGACTCCTCATAAAAACCCCACTCAGACCCACCCTTTCCCATGACACTACTTCGCAAGATTGTTGTAGTGAGAAAAATAAGGGGAGAATGATTTTATAAATTGTTTCGTCTGCACTGGGGTGCAAATTGGGGTATAAATATCTAACTAAATAAACAAAATAAATGTTGGAAAGGTGGAGCCAAATCCAGATGTAGTTCAGAGCTCCCTGGCAGTCAAGCCCTTCTTCCCTGTCACCATTGTGCTCATGAGTCAGGGCTTTCTGGCAACAATGCCTCATACAGCAAAGGGCTTGAAACAGCCTAGCCCACCTAGTAAAATAGATGGCCCTTTAGTAACTCTTTGTGACCAGTTTGCACTTTGTCCTTTAAGCCAACAAGAGTCAGATGCTGCTATAATACCTGGCCAAGGTTGCTGCTTGGTCAGTTGGATCAGTTTCACTTGGTATCTCCTGAGGATACTGAGAAGTGTTCATGGCTTGCTTGATCAATGAGGCCTGTTACGGGTGGCACTGATCAGTACTCCTATCACTGAGGAGTCATGACCTTAGTTCTGAAGCAAGCTATCCAGCCAATTGTTTTTAAAAAATCTGCTTATCTGAGAGCTTTGAATAATTACAGGCCCATCTCTAATCTTCCATTCTGGGGTAAAGTCCAAGTGGGCAGTAATGGAACATCCCAGGTGGTCTTGGAGGAAACTGATTATCTCTCAAGGTTTAGGTCTGGCTGTAGGACTGAAGCTACTCTGGCAGACTGTCCTCATCCAGAGACAGATGGGTGAGCATATTGCTCTTGATTCTTCCAAACCTCTCAGGGTTTTTGATTTGATTGCCCATCAGTTACTTCTGGATTGAAGGTATTGCTTTGCAGTGGCTTTATCCCTTTGTGTCTAGCCAGTTGCAGAAGTTTACATTGAATTACTATTGCTTAATCTCAGTGGAGCTATCCTGTACAGTGCCACAAGGTTCAGCCTCGATGCTGATACTTGGAGAGATCACCAGGCAATATGGAATGCAGGGAGGTGGGTGCCCCCCGCAAAAAAAAAGGCAGGGCCTTTTTTGCTGTGGCGCCTTGCCTTTGGAACTCTCTTCCCACAGTTGCTCACCTGGCACCTAGCTTGACTTGGTTTCGGTGGCAGACAAAAGCTTTTTAAAGGGCTTTTTCTTTGGTCTGACCTGGATGGCCCAGGTAAGCTTGATCTTGTCAGTTTTCCAAAGCTAAATAGAGTTGGCTGTTGTTAGTACTTGGATGGGAGGCCACCAACAAAGTCCAGGGTTGCTATGCAGACCACCTCTGTTCATCTCCTGCCTTGGACACCCTGTGGAGTCACCACAAGTCAGGTGCAACTTGATGGCACTTTCCAGCAGGGCTTTTGGGTTGAGGATGATTGATTATACATTAGAATGAATTTTTAATCACATTATTAGTTTAATTACATTATTAGTGATTATTGCACAGGTGATGTTTTGAATGTTTTTAGCTGCTTTATGTTTTGGCTCCAGGGGATTTCCTGCGGCCTTGATGCGAGTGGAAACAGGACTCCCTTCTATTAAGGCAAGGGTGCACTTCGCAATTATAAAATACTGGAAGAAGATCGATTCGTCTAGATCTAACTCTCTAAGCCACCAATCTGTTAGATCATTATTAACAAAAGACCCTACGCATTCTGATTCTTTTAGCAATATCCTTAGTAGATACATCATACCTGATGACCTCCTCGGGGCCTCAGGTGACCATTCCCAACTCAGGGAATGGATTTTCAAATCAGATGCTGTGATAGATGGCTCACAAAGTCGAAAACAGCGCCTTGGTACAGCTCCTATTTATATAATATTTCCAATATAATATTATATAATATTTCCAACTATAGCCCTCAGGGTGTCTTTTACTGCCTTGTGTTTTCAAACAATGTACACAGCATTGTGGGAGGGTCGATATTTTCAAATTCCAACAGAACACAGTATATGTATTTGCGGTTTACTTGCCATTGAGAACCTCCCTCAATGTCTGTATCTTAGTCTGCCTGTTATACAACGCACCCAGAGACAAATTCTTGACAGGAATTTTATTTACTATAAAAGCGTATTCTGAAAATGAGAAGATTGTGTTTTTGTTATCAGATACTGATGAGTTCATATTTTATAGAGTCTCCCTTTTTGCCCTTGCGGCCAAAAAGATTAGACCCAGGGCAGCATCATAGGGGCCACTCTTATAAAACGTAGGCTATTTTAACCGATTCTCATTTTATGTATGTGATTTTAGGTTTTACTTCTTTATGTATTTTATCATAATGTTTTACTGTTCTATTTGAATGTTTTGTAATTTTGTTGTGGCCTATGGCTAACACAATAAATCCTACTTACGACTGTTTTGGCTTTCGATTCTTTTTACTGACTGTCTCATTAATGATTATTCATTACTTTTAGGGGTTGTTTTTCATTGAGGATCGTTTTTTTATTGATTTATGTAAGATTCCCCAGAAGCCTCGGGAGTTATGTGGGATATAAATTATTTTAAATGAACAATAGGCGGATGACAGCACAGTTCTGTTTTCCATTAGGTCCAGGAGCAGTTGTAATGCGTATGCCAGCACCCGAACTAGATAAGGAAGAATAACTGTCAGCTGAATGCAGATAAGCTTCAGCCTAGAGAATATTTAATAAATCGAATCAATTGAGGATGGTTGAAGGATCCCTGTGATGCCAGGTAGGTGAGTTTGTTTACACGAGATGGGGTTCACACTCCCCCAAGGGATCAGATTAATAGTTTTAAGGATTTCTTGGCATCCTGCTTTGCAGATTGATCTGCAGTGGCCGGGAGTGCCATTCATCAACTTTGGCTGATAAACTGACTGATAAACTGGCTGATAAAAGTCATCCACCTTTTATGTTTTGGTAATGTCATCCGGACTACTGCAATGAGCTGCCGTTAAAGGGAACCCCAAAGCTGTAATTGATACTGTCTTCTGTGTCCTGCTTTTTGTTTAGCGAAATAGAGCAAAGCTTTCCAAGCATAATGGGATAGATTGACAACTGCCCGTACATGTGTTCTCTGTTATGGCTCCCACCTTGTGGAACAGCCAGCCTCAGGAAGTCAGACTGCAAAATGTTCAAACTAGAAATGTTCAGGAGGGCATTTTAATAAAGGGAATAGAAGTGTACTGTAATTCAGGAGGGTGCTTTTATAATGGAATTGGAGTCTATTGTAGTGTTTATTATATGTAACATCTTCCTTTTACGGCATTGCCTTCTACTTTTCTAACAAACTTTGTGGTATGTCGTGCCTTTGACAGGTTTTTCTTTTTGTATTGTTTTCCAGTCCTGTAATCCTAGTTCTGGAAGGAAGGCGGTATGATATAGCCCAGTCTTGTCAGATCTTGGAAGCTAAGCAGGGTCAGTACTTGAAAGGGAGACCACCAAGGAAGGCTCTGCAGAGGAAGACAATGGCAAATCACCTTTGCATCTCAGGCTGCGAGTATACATACAATTAGACCCAACATACCCTGTTTTCCCAAAAATAAGACCTACCCCAAAAATAAGCCCTAGCAGGATTTCTATGCATTTGTGGTATAAGCCCTAGTGTGTCTTCTTGAGAAAAAATAAATATAAGACAGTGTCTTATTTTCGGGGAAACACGGTAGGTGTGAATGCTGGGCAGATTTAAAGGGTGCAATCAGACAACAACATCTGGGAAGTGCCCCACAGCCATTGGCAACCCGTTCTGCTTTGCCGCAGAAGTGGTGTTAAAAGACACCGGGGAAACTCTGGTAGTAAACAGGTTGCAATGGGCCACGGACGGACTTTCCTGTGTCTGATCGCTCCAGCGCGCTCTCATGGAGTCAGGATGATCTAATCAGGCCATCCCAACTCCATGCTGTTCCTTCTCAGTATGCGCATCATCGCAAACTCCATAGGGAGCCTTCAGTGTGGAGGTGTGATTCATTAATCCCTCGGGGGGGGGGGGGAGGCCCAACACAAAACCCGATGTCTGATCACACACTGACGGACTGCGCCCACAGCTTCAAAGGGAGGTGTGATCATGCAACTGCGGGTCAAATTCCTCTGGAGGAAATAGCCTCACCCCCCCCCCCCCCATTTTTCCTGGTGAGTGTGACCACAACTTCACTTGCCTTAAAAGCCCCTTGCTGGAGTCACCATAAATTGCCTGCAACTTGACGGCACTTTACGCACACAGTCTTAGTCCTATTTCCTTGTTTATTGGATGAGTTATGCTGTCTGAACTGCTTTTTGTAATCTGACTTTATTCTCCACAAGAAAGGCAGGCTATAAAGAAAGTGAAAAAATAATATTTTCTTGCTCATCTGTACTGGATACCAGTTACCTTCCAGACCCAGTCAAGGTGCCTACATGACCTGGGTCATATGTATCTAAAGAGCATCTGCTCTTGTACTATTCTCCACCAGCACAAACAGGAGAGGCTGCAGTGCAGATTCCTCAGCAGTTCAATTGATGGCACTGCTTC